TGAGCGAATCTGCAGCTTCGAAGAGGACGATTGCAAGTTGGACTCTACCAAGGTATATCGAGCATCCACCATGTCAGGTGAGAGCAGTGAGATCTTCAAGTTCATTTGGAAGAGCTATGCCTTGCCACGGGTAAAGTTCTTCGGTTGGCTACTCCCCCAGGAGCATATTCAATGCAAGACAAACTTGTTCTAGAAAAAGGTGGTCGACATCGACACTTGTGAGCTCTGTGATCAATCACCAGAATGTTGTGATCATCTCATCTCCCGCCGCTCAGTTGCTCGGTCATTATAGATCCACCTTGGCTGGCAAGAAAGATTCGTGCCGGTGACCACACAACTCTAGGACTTAGCCAAACTAGACAACGTCCCCTGGAAATTATTCTCGATGATGGTCTTGCTATGTTGCTGGCACATTGCAAACAAAGGAACAATGTCATCTTCCATCACTTGCCCCCTATCTATCTCGGCTGCTCCACGACTTGCAAAAGAGGAATGCGCCTTTGGAGCTACCGGCTGCGATAGGAGAGGACCATTGGATAGATGATCACTGGTTCAATATGCTTGTAATGGCTTGAATCCCTATGATCCCCCTCAATTTGTAATTCCTCGGGGAAACCCTCCCTAAAAACTATATAATTGCTTGTCACCCCCATCCCCGGCTCGCTGGTATCTATGGTAAACCATTCAGACGTGGGGCGCTCACCCCTCATGTGTTTTCTTCAAAAAATCTGATTGGGCCTACTGTTTACGGGCCATAATTGCTTTGCGATAGTGAAGGTTTCTAGGCCACAACTAGGGCCTGGGCCCTAGAGGCCTTAGGCCCTAGAGGCCTTAGGCCCAGATCCACCCCGACCAACAAGGAATAGCATGCGTTTGAGGCCGCACATTACATGAATTCTACAATAACGCTATAGAATGGCGAGACCGACCAGCAAGTCAGTCAGGCCAATTCGTAGCCCGTTCTTTGCCCGAGTAGTGCCGTCGGAGAGGGCACAAAGAGGTTGCTCTAGGATCGACAAAGCCACTAGAACGCTGTCAAATGATCAAATCTCATTGAGAGAGACGTGATAATCAACAATGGTTAGAGAAGTTAGGGTAAAAAGAGTAGTAGATATATATTTTGAAAAACATAACATATCTAAAGGCTATTAATGTTAATGGTGATCAAATTGATGGCGATCTTTACGATTATTATGATATTTTTTCTATAATTTATCTTTTTAGCACATCGGGTGAAAATTAATATGGAGGGTTTGTTTGGACCTCTAATAATAATTATTTTTAATATCATCGGGGATTACTCCCACACGAATATATATTGATATAGCCCAAATCGACTCTTTTTATGTTCTACAAATATTTAAGAGGGAACAACAACAACAACATCAAGACGCCCCAGCACCAGGGCAAAAAATGGCAGAACCACAAATACAATAGCGAAATGCAAATACTACCACGCTAACTCACAAGACCTCTTCAACAATGCCTCCAGGAGGTGAATGGCGCCAAAACGTAATCATTGTCACCAACCGGGGAGCTTGGCAAGGCTTTCGCCCAAGCCTTGTGTCGAGGGGTAATCGCATTGATCGGACCAATCTAGGATAAGCAATAGCAATAGGTTCTTTAGTGATGCCTTCAAGAAGGAATTCCTCATCACCGCCCAGACTAATAGTGAGCGAAGCTGCCGCGAGCCTTTGATTGTGCTCCCGATGACCCGCCATGCCATAGCGGAAGGAGGCGCCGATGGCGCCCACGCTTGGACGGAGGGGGTGCTGGCCGCCACCACACCATGAACTGTCGGCGATGAAAAGTGACAGGGTGCCACCGACACACGAAGCAAGCCGAGAGAAACCACGTAGAGCAGATCCCGAGCTCTCCCTGGTTTTAGGAGGGACACCGGACCGGATGGTCATTACCGAGGGCGTGCTAGTCAATTTGACCCTACAATTGACGAGGAGAGAAAATTGATCAGTAATTTAAGGTGGAATATGGCAGTGTTTGTCCAGATAGTTCCAAATATGCGGCTAAGTAGCCGATGAAATAAGGCTATCGACTAGCGGGTCGATATCCAGCATGTTCAAGATGCATGATGAGTAGAATAAGTCTATCAACAATTATCAGTTACTCAAGCATATAGATCTTAACTAGCCGATGATCATGAAACATGCAAAAGATGTAAGGATAGGCGTGTAAGCATTCATGTGAGAGACATACTAGCTTTTAACCAAGATAAAAACAAATAAAAGCATGTAAATAGCCGGTACATCCTCAACAAAACAGGCTATCGGCTAAAACATCCGATTTTAGTGATCTTGTCGTATAACATACGACCACTCATCCATCGGATATAAATAAATCTACAACGACTAGACCCAATCTATTATACGTCAATGTCAGCGAGGTGAAAGTAAATGCGATGTAGCATTGATAGTAGGACCCTAGATCGAGGAGACCATCGATTCGATAGATCTACTTATATCGCAAAGGAATTGTGAGGGCATATTATACGTGTGGAAGCTCAGGCCATCGGCTAAATAGCCGTTGGAGACATAGTGAGTGGTTGACACCATGCTCTTCTTAACAGATAGATCTATTAACCAACAATGTCTAGTCTGACATGCTATCAACAGATCGAGTCGGCTGATGCAGCATTGATAGCGAAGTCATACCGGATACCGATGATCAATGAATCTATCTCTTAATAAAACACAACTTCAAACACCGCCATGCATACGATCGAGGATTGAGATAGATTAGCCATCAAAGCGGGATCTAACGTCAAGAATTGGATTCAGCCGTACAGATATATAGCAGATGATAGATCAAAATAATAAGACTAATAAATCTGAATCTAGATCGGGCAATTGGTGATATTGTATTAAACTGTAAACTATTTAACACGATATCGATGACTTTGATTAATACCAATTTACAAGAGATCGATTACCGTCATTGCAGCCTTGTAAAGGTTGATCACGAATCGATAACTAATCTATACCATGATTTGTAAAAGATCAGCCGTCTGTTGCAGCCTTACAAATAACAATATAGATCGATAACTAACTTATACCATGACTTGCAAGAGATCAGTCGTCTGTTGCAGCCTTATAAGTAACAATATAAGTCGTGCCGGATACTCACAAACAAGCCGAAGGTTAGGTCATCCGATGCAGCCCTGCTTGCCCAAACAACTCGTCCAAATCTACTCTACTCTACTCCTACTCCTAAGGGGTGGTGTAAGCCAAAAAGTAAAGGTACTTGTTTGTTTGATCGATGAGAGATATGCATTACAATAGCCGGGGCTTAATATTTATACCCGATGCTTGACTACGAGTCCTGGTCGAACAAGACCGATCTCAAACTTAGAAAAAAAGTAAAGCTTCCTAAATTACGATAACTTGAACCTCAATCTTTCCCTTCTATGATATCTGTCGTGCCTTCTCACATCATGCCACGTCGTTCTCGCCAATGGGGCACATTCCCTTGGAATGATAACGTCATCTTATTCATTTGATGGCAACTAGATTGGCCGATCCTTGCTGAATATTTGGCTTTCCCTAATAAAGTTAGACCTCGGGGTCCCTTTGTTCTGAACCAAATTTTGGTGTCAACAGAGCCATTTGTGGACTCGCCCGCGATATTGGGGAGGCGTGCACCGGCAAGCATCCACACATAAATGGAAGCGGAGGTGCGGCCACCGCCACCTTGTCTTGGCCGTTGCTTTGGACTTCGCCCGCGATAGTGGGGCGTGCACACGGCAAGTAGCCGCTCTGGACGAAGGGGAGGGTGCGGCCGCCACCACCTGCGCGAAGCCATTTCGGACTTCGCCTGCGTGGCGGTGGGAGGTGCACACGGCATGCATCCGCGCTGGATGGAGGTAGGGTGCCGGCCGCCGCCACACCGCGAGCAGAGCCGTTCGTGGACTCGCGCCGCGACGGTGGGAGGCGCGCACCGGTAAGCATCCACGCTTGGACGGAGGGGGAGTGCCGGCCGCGGCCACACCGCGCGGAGCCGTTTTCGTACTCACCTGCGACGGTGGGAGGCGCGCACCGGCAAGCTTCCATGCCTGAGCGAAGGGGGTGTCGATCCCTACCACACCACGCGGATCCGTTCTCGCTTTTCGCCGGCGATGGTGGGGAGGCACGCACCGCAAGCGCACGGGGGGGGTGCCTGCCGCCGCCACACCACACAGGCCGATCCCGGACTCGCGCTGCGATGGTGGGGAGGCGCGCACTGTCGGCCGACGCCGCCCACACGGTGCCACGGCTGGAACCATCATGGTCGACGCCATCGCACCGCCCAAACAGCGCTCTGCCCTCCCGATAATTGGCAGAAAAGGCCCTCAATGGCCGGAAGTCAGCCAGAGAGCAGCACGCCGCTGGCAAGCCCGCGGCCAAACCGCGCACCGCGCCGCTGCTGGCCCCCTGCACACGAACGCGAACAAAACGGTCACGCTGCCCCACCGCCGGCACGCCCGCGGCTAAACTATGCGTCCGGCGCCGGTGCAGGGCCACCCCAGACCAGGACGGTGTCGCTGAAGCTCGTTGGCCTCAGCAACAGCCGGCAACGCGCCAAAGGCGGCGACCTCGCCCGTTGCCTCGCCGACGCCCGCCGAGCACCGAAGCACGTCTTCCGATCCACGCGCCCGGCCACCGCCGACCGCGGACGGGAGCAAGCGGGCGCCGCCCCGGCAGCCAGCAGGCGCGTGGCGCAGGCGGGTAGGCCCGGCAGCAAAGCGCGAGGGCCGTACCTCTAATAATTAGTAATAGGAAAATACCGTTTTGAAGACAGTTTTTAAGCATTGAACCGCTAGCTAAAATAATAAAACATAAATTATTGGTAACACAAAGGTACTAGTCAGAACAGCATCGATACACTCAGTTCACACTTCACACACGTAAACTCGTGCGCAGTGGTTAAACCAAATGTGTGTGTTCTGCTGATTGCTCTTTAATTAATTATTACAAATTAAAATAACTAGTACTAATTCAACGAATAAATTATTCTCCACTGCTAATGTTCGTCATCATATCAATGCTGCCAGCCTATACGAACACAAACTTATTCAAGCTAAACACATCAGTTCGACGAAAAATCCGAGGTCCAAAGGCTCCAAGCTTGCTATGGCGCGTGTGCTGCGGGGGGAGGGCATGGAGTGTTTGGGTCGTACGTTTTGCCGCAATGCCCTAACACCTTGCTGACGGACACCGGCAGCGTTGGTGGTGCCGGCCCAGCGGCGCCGTCGGCTCCGAGGAGGCGCCGCGCTGGTGCGGCCGCGGCGTCAGAATGCACCGATGCTGTCACGAGCAGCAGCGCAAGCAACACCGCCGCTGCTCCAGCCAGACCTCGTGCTCTCCCTCCTCCCTGCATCTTGATCGATCAGGACTTGCGTGCACTTCAGCAAATTAGCTTCACCGGCCGAGCTAGAGATATCTCGAGATGCTTGCTGAATGCTAATTAGATTAGAGCTCAAGCTGATGAGGAAACAATGGTTGGTGTGCTTCCAAAGCTCAAATCCATGGTGTCTACTTATAGCATGCATGCAGCGACTTAAAACATCGTTCAGACTATGGAGACGATCGATCGTCAAGCCAGTCAGCTGGGTGCTAACTTCCGCGACATTGCCGCGGATGAAGAAAACGTTTTTGACGGATCCAACTGATGACGCAACCTGGTATATGCAAGCATGCATAGATTCACATGTGAGATGCATGTCTTGTGGTACACAGATCGATGGAGGATTCAAGGTCCAAGCTAAGTTTCAACGTTTCAAGAGTGGACTGACGACTATGACTATATGATTCTTCCATGCAAAAATCCAAGATCAAAAGTAGTTCGGAATTCTCGAGGTACGGAATATGACTGAAGTTGGGGTTTTCCAGCATTGAGGAGTGCAGCTAGCTGATGTGCCCGGATCGACCGTACCTTGACGGCCAGAGTCCGGTTGAAAGTGAAACTCGCACTGACCCGACCGCGTGCACTGCCAAAGATCTTTGCACGGCAACAACCTGCAACGTTTTGGCACTGTTGTTTTATACTCTCAAAGGATCGGAGACAGGGAAAACGCTGTAAGGGCATGTGGTACCAAGTCTCAGCATTTCTCTCTCACGTTCATATCGATATTATCTGGGCTATTATTCTAGTTTCTCTTGGTGCCAGAAGAAAGCCTTAGATATGGTTGATCGCCTAACCATTTTGGGTTGCTAGAACTGTACTTAGTTCAGTTTGGTTCAAATTGCATACATCATCACATCAGATTAGTTAAGTTTCAAGACGAAGAGAACATAGTTCTTTCCAGTCCTTTGTTTCGTTGCCAGTGCTATGACCAGATTACTTGATGATTCAACACTCTGTGTTCAAGAGATCGATCAGATTGCAATGATCGAGATAGCCTGCTCAAGTAGGTGAAGGAATAGTATATTACACTTCCACTTTCCCAAGGTTCACCTTGAAGTGCATGAACGCATCAAAAAAGGCGCAGAAAGAGATGGGTGTGCAAGAATGTTTTCAGGTCTAGGCAGGACACTCAAGCCAGGGTTCCATTCTAGGCAGGACATGCGGAGGCCCGTGGCTAAAGTGCAGCGAGGCTGGCGACTGAGTACAACACGTAGAGAGGTCTATGGATGCCATGCCGCATCTTAATCTTGATTTAGTGTCCCCAATCCCCCTATTGTTTCAGTTGATCAGGCAAGACAACGTACATACAGCATTATACATAAATTCTCCCGATCCCTTGTTTCTTTTAAAAAGTAAGATAAAGAAAATACCAAAAGCACATAGCAACCAGAGCAACACACTGGGCCTACGACAAAGCATGAACAATTGGACAAGAATAATCCCAAAACGGACCTTTCATGCAAATTAATTAAAGGAAGGAGCTTTTTGAAAGTTTGATGTGGAACTACTAGCAGCCTGTTCGTTTGGTTGAACGATCGTGGATTATTAGCCAGAAATACTGCTGGCTGGTTTTGTGTGAGAGAAAATACTATTTCAACTTATAATCACGATCATTATAAGCGAAAGCGAACAGGCTGTAGTTCCGCCGGGAGGAACCTGAAAACATTCTTGCACACCCATCTCTTTCTGCGCCTTTTTGATGCGTTCATGCACTTCAAAGGTGAACCTTGGGAAAGTGGAAGTGTAATATACTATTCCTTCACCTACTTGGAGCAGGCTATCTCGATCATTGCAATCTGATCGATCTCTTGAACACAGAGTGTTGAATCATCAAGTAATCTGGTCATAGCACTGGCAACGAAACAAAGGACTGGAAAGAACTATGTTCTCTTCGTCTTGAAACTTAACTAATCTGATGTGATGATGTTTGCAATTTGAACCAAACTGAACTAAGTACAGTTCTAGCAACCCAAAATGGTTAGGCGATCAACCATATCTAAGGCTTTCTTCTGGCACCAAGAGAAACTAGAATAATAGCCCAGATAATATCGATATGAACGTGAGAGAGAAATGCTGAGACTTGGTACCTACATGCCCTTACAGCGTTTTCCCTGTCTCCGATCCTTTGAGAGTATAAAACAACAGTGCCAAAACGTTGCAGGTTGTTGCCGTGCAAAGATCTTTGGCAGTGCACGCGGTCGGGTCAGTGCGAGTTTCACTTTCAACCGGACTCTGGCCGTCAAGGTACGGTCGATCCGGGCACATCAGCTAGCTGCACTCCTCAATGCTGGAAACCCCAACTTCAGTCATATTCCGTACCTCGAGAATTCCGAACTACTTTTGATCTTGGATTTTTGCATGGAAGAATCATATAGTCATAGTCGTCAGTCCACTCTTGAAACGTTGAAACTTAGCTTGGACCTTGAATCCTCCATCGATCTGTGTACCACAAGACATGCATCTCACATGTGAATCTATGCATGCTTGCATATACCAGGTTGCGTCATCAGTTGGATCCGTCAAAAACGTTTTCTTCATCCGCGGCAATGTCGCTCAAGCCAGGGTTCCATTCTAGGCAGGAATCAGATACACTGGTGCAGTCAAAACCAGTGAAAGAGGGCGTCAAACGGGTGCGATAGTCAAGTTAGCCCGGTATTGAGAGTTGATTGGGCAAAGATTCTTTGGTTTTCAAGTTCAGTCACCAAAACCAGACTTGGGCAACAGTTTAACTTCAACAGCCAAAATTTCCTTTAAACTAATCTGATGTGATGTATGAAATTTGAAGTAAACTGAACTACAGTTATTTTCCAGCAACCCGAAAATGGTTTGGCGCTGAACCATGTCGTGGGCTTCTCGCACCTAACAGCGCGCTTCTGTCTCCAGGACATTCTAAAGAAAAACAATAGTGCCAAAAACGCTGCAGGTGGTTTCCGTGCAAGATCTCTCTGGCATGGCAATGAACGCGGTTAGCTGCAACCCTGAGTGCTGAAAATTTCAAACTTCAAGCATACATTCCGTATCAGAGAATTCCAAACTACTTTTGATCACTGTTCGTCTAAGCGGTCGTTTAGCCCGTTTAAACACCGTGTAAACGCTACACGGTGGTGCGCCGTTCCGTTTAATCACCCGTTTACCCTGTTTAATTAGCCGTTTAGCCCGTTTAATACGACGTTTTGCCGAATAATGGCTAAGCGGTAGGTGACCGACTGTTTACCGATTAGCGTTTAGGAAAACATTGCTTTTGATCTTGGATTTTATGCATGAAACAATCAAATGGTCGTCAGTCCACCACTCTTGAAATGTTGAAACTTCAACCTTTAGCTTGATCTGTGTACAGCACAACACATGCATCTAAATTCTGACGTGAATATATTACGTGAACCTATGCATATTTGCATATACCAGGTTGCGTCATCAGTTTGATCCGTCAAAACGTTTTTTTCTTCATCCGTCCGCGGCAATGTCGCGGAAGTTAACATCAGCTGGTTGGCTTGACGATCGATCGTCTGTCGTATCCATAGTCTGAACGATGTTTAATCGTTGCATGCATGCTATAAGTAGACACCATGGCTTTGAGCTTTGGAAGCACAACAACCATTGTTTCCTCAGCTCGAGCTCTGATCTAATTAGCATTCAACAAGCATCTAGCTAGAGATCTCTCTCGACCTGTGGAGCTATCTTTGCTGCAGTGCACGCAAGTCCTAATCAAGATGCAGGGAGGAGGGAGAACAAGAGGTCCGGCTGGAGCGGCGGCGATTTTGTTTGCGCTGCTGCTCGTGGCAGCGTCGGTGCATGCTGACGCCGCGGCCGCACCGGCGCGGCGCCTCCTCGGAGCCGATGGCGGGGCTGTGCCGCCACCACCAAATAAGCTGCCGGTGTCCGTCAGCAAGGCAACGTTAGTGCCACCTTGCGGCACCACGAGCGACCCAAGCACTTCTTGCCCTCCCCCAGCTCACGCGCCATAGCAAGCTAGCTAGCTGTACGTAATAATAAGCTTGGAGCCTGGGACCTTGGATGTGTTTAGTTTCAGTAAGTATGTCGTTCGTATATAGGCTGGCACCATCGATCACGAACATTAGCAGAATAATTTATTTGTTGAATTATTACTAGTTATTTTGTAATAGTTAAAGAGCAATCAGAACACACATTTGAAAGCAGCCACTGGGCACGAAGTTAGAGCATGTACAATCACAGACGGGATGTTGTCTGTAAGATCTTGTCGAATCACAAACAGATAGCTAAAAAGATAGTTTGTACAATGATCCATCTATTTAAATTTAGGTGGTGTTTGGATCCTCAAGACTAAACTTTGGTCCCTGCCAGTTTGAATGTTTCGATGCCAATTAGAAAAACTAAACATGAGCTAGTTACAAAACTAATTGCATAAGTTGTGGCTAATTCGCGAGACAAATTTATTAAATCTGATTAATCCATGATTAGCTCATGTGCTAATTATACGAGCACCCATGATCAGGAAAAACAAGATTTTAAGGTGCCTTTTTGTGTTGCTTGTATACGGGAATGTCTCAAACGTGAAAGGGCCCCTGCAGCCGTGCACATTTTCCACAGCTGAGCTCGCCTGCGCGCAGCTCGTGGTGGCTGGGACAGAGGTAACCCGCGCAGCTCGCGACAGCTGGAGCAGAGCTCGCCCTACGCTCGCGCGCTAACTGTGGCAGTGGCCGGCCGAATATGCATGAACTTGGCCGCGCCGCTCCGCCTTCCCTGTCCCGCGCCTCCCCTGCTCATCTTCTTTCCCGCCTTCTCCGCTTCCTTCTCGCTTGGATGCCGTATATCACTGAGCTCGAATGCCATTTGAAGGACCTCTGTCGCCGTTGGGATTTTCGTGCCATACGAATACGACAGCAATCCGTGCACACCGCAACCAGATTCCATCGCGTGTCATCAGGATGTACGTACACTTACGAACACACGTATATAAACTCTACCTTATGACCTCCAAAGGACTAAGCTGG